TGAAGAAAAGGAAAACAGAAAGACTAACAAAGAAACGAAATGAAGAAAAAAACAGAAAGACTAACAAAGAAATGAAATGAAGAAAAAGAAGAGAGAGTGAAACAGAGAAATGGAACTAGGAAAATGAAGAAAAATAAAACAGAAAAACTGACAAAGAAACGAAGGAAAAGAAGAAAGGGTGTCGCAAAAATAAGAGAAAGAGCAGAGAGAACTATAAATATAAGAAACGAAGGAGACAGGTAAGCGATCCAGCCGATAAAAACCGAATATTCGTCGACTTCGATGTTGTCCAACATCCCGCAGCAATATCTCCGCTAATATCTCGGCCGCGTCCCGCGCATTCGTTCCGGAATTCCGAAAAGAAGGCGTGCAACTTTAAAAGGAGCAGGATGTTTGCGCCAGGTAAACAGCGCCGTTGCGTCTTAATAAGGAAAGTAGAAAAGCAGTTTCCGGAAGATGGGACTGTTTTGCATTTCAGTGTTCACGGTTAACTTGGCCGCGCCCCCGCCCACCTATGAACATCACTTTTACATGTTTACTGTTATCCCCGCTATCCACAATCTCCCCGTTAATATTTCAGCCATAATACACGCCTCGGCCGCTCGTAATATTTATCTGCCGGAGATAATTCAGCGAACGGGAGCAACTTCGAATTTCCCAGACGAAATTACTTTCCCCCTAAGCAGTTTCTCTTTAAAAGAACCAACCCCCTACCGTCGGGAAGAATTTTCATTTCATTTTTCCGTGTCCCGACTTATTCGAATTCAACTGGCGCGTTAACGAACACAGCAATTAATCACGAATGTATTGATACTATATGAATTTTTGATTTTCTGGAACGTTCATTGTGATAGTTCATTTACTTTAGTTTATTCGTTTCGAAGGAGATTTGGAAAGTTTTCAGTTCTAACCTCTAATTTCGAGTGTTCTTTTCTAAATCTGATGATGATTGTAAAATTAACCCTTCGCACTCGAGAGGGGATGCAGCAGAACTATGATGTTGAATGTTTAGTATTCTAAATGAAACTTTGTATCGCTATGTGAAATATTGAAATAAAATAGCTTTGTTGCTTAATTTATCTGTGGATTATCGTTAAACTAGTTCGAAACAATATCACCTACATCTCATCAGAAAATATTGAATATTCCAGTGAAAAACTTTCGAGTGCAAAGGGTAAACCCTTAGCACTCCAGGTTGTTTTATAATCTATCAACAACTGCAACTAATTTTTATAGTATTCCTAGCGAAAGTAAGAAATGCTATAACATTTCTTCGATATTTTATTTTCCTTCTTCGTGCAAAATTTGGATGTGTGGAAAATAGAATAATTTTAGGGTAGTCTCAGGCAATGTCGTCTATATCTCATCAGAAAATATTGAATATCTCCAGGGAAAATTTTCGAGTGCAAAGGGTTAACTACAGGAAATATCTAAATTCAATTGAAAAATTGATTAAACTGAAATAACAATTGTAAATTAAAATGTCTGGTGTCGAGAGACACTTCGGTAGAAATAGTTGAAGATTATTAGGATCGTGACAAAGTGTGTCAGAAATATTCGAAACATCCCCCGAAAGCGATCGGAAATTTCGATTGCCGAAAAAGCTGTGTAAATAAATCGCGGATTCGAATCGTTTGATCGTTAACGATCTATCCGTTTCGTTTCGTCACGCTAACCGTCGTCCACTGTGACACGAATTTCTGTTTCCACCCTCTCTCTCTCTCGCTCGCTGTTCTCTCGGCGCCGTCTCCAACGTTTCATCCCCCGCGTTTACTGCGTCCGATGTGTATCCCGAATCTCTCTCGGGGAGTTTATTATTCATGCGCCCCTATTTTGCAACGTTTTACTTTCATGACTGCTAATAACCCGGATCTGCGTCTAATCGAATTTATGCAAATGGCAATTAGGTTTACACGACTGTGCGCGGGCGCGCTGACACGCTGTCGCGCTCGCTACACGAGTGCGCGCGCCACCGCCGAAAACCGACCGAATGAATTTCTTTGCTGGATTTGTTTAACAGCGACGCGGGGGGACCGCGGGATTGGCTGAGGTTTTATTCGCAGTTTCGTTAACTGGGGGGAATAATTTGTGTTTGAACTGGGCGGCGCGGGGGTTGTGCTACCGCAGGGTTTGATCGCTCTTTTCATTTGCCTCGTTGAGTTCTGTGATCTTGTAATTTTAGGTTTGTGATTCTACAATTTTATGGTTCTGTAATTTTGTAATTCTATAATTTTATAGTTCTATAACTTTGTAATTATATAACTTTACAGTTCTACAATTTTGTAATTCTATAACTTCATAGTTCCATAATTTTGTAATTCTATAACCTTATAACTTTATCATCTTATCAGCCTACAACTTAACAATCTCACCATTCTGTACTGTAATAGTTCCACAATAATATAACACTATACCCCTACAGTTTTATAATTTCGTAACTTTCTAATTCTCTAATCCTTTAACCCTTTACCTCTCCAGTCCCCAATCCCACAATTTCACAACCCTTCAACCCTTCCCCAGAATTTTACAATCTCAAACCTTCACAGTCCTACAACACCATCGTCCACAATTCTTAGCTCTTAGTTCCACTTAGAACCCTACATCCCCACAACTCCGCAACTCCACAATCTCGCAATCCCCCACCCCCTAAATCCTGAACAAACACAATTAAACCTACAATCCCCACTTCATCATCCAAACTCGACCTTTCAACTCCTGCATTTTCCTCAAGACAACTGTCTCCAATTCATCTCTACCACACCCTCTCCCCAGCCCCTACAAAATAATCCAAAACTATATCAATTAAACCCACAACAGCGAAAACGCGAAAACACGTATACGTCGGAAAATCGCGTAAACGGGAACAAGTAGAAATTGTGTTATAGAGAAGAAATAGAGTCGCGGTCTGGTATAGCTGCAGCTGCGCCAGCCGAGCGTTTACGCGGGCGAGAATATCGCCGAGTGATTTAAATTTACGAATATTGTTGCGAGCATTCGTGCATTACTGTATTACATGCCGGCGCATAATCACGCGTGCGGATTCGATG